ATTTTCCTGTTCCTCTTCTTATTCCTCCAAGCAGGCTGTAAGTTCCTTGATAGTCAAAGCTTTGTGGTTTATTTTTATATCTCACAAAAGGTAAATTCTCCAGAATATTGACAGAATATGATGACATTAAAATAACATTCCTAGGAGCATTCCCTTAATTTCTTTGTAGATCAGTCAAGTAGAAACTTGAGAGCAAGAAAGGACCCAACATAACTGATTATGCAGATTTTAAACAATGATAGGCAAAATCATAGCAAGGAGCAGAGTCAGTGGTGGAATCTAAGGGCTCCAGTTTTCAGTCTCTTTAACTTTATGTGTCATTAATCGCCTTTCACAGGACTTCAAAGTTCAGCACAATTCATTCCAACAATCCAGGGTAAACTCAGAACTTCTAGGGGACTAATGGTGGCTCAAATTAGTATTCAGGAATAAACTGAATTTAAATTCCATTTTTTAATTTGGCTATTTCCCATGTTATTTTGGATTTTTGTTTTTGTGTGCTGAAATTAACTCCACAAACATAGCAACATAATTAGTTCCAACTGTATTGTTTTTTCTCATGAACACATGGATTGCAACATCCTTCAATTTCTTCTTTTAAGGTCAAGTAACTTTTGTTTTAAATCTCTCCCAAAACACTTCATTGTCAGAATTTTAATCAACATCCAACAAACTGAATTGAGGTACCCTGACTTTTAAGCGATATGATCATATTTGGTAAGGTTTCTATATATGAAAGTCTAATTAAGAGACAAGGTATACAAAATCTAACTAGAAAATAAAATTTTAAATTGTTTTGTATTCAGAACAAAGGTTTTATTGTAGGGGGTAAAGCCACATATAAGTTAAAACATTGCGGTCCAAGTACTCACTCAGAAAACCTTGTATTGAGCTCTCCCACTGAGTTGCAGTCAAACCATCCTATTTCCATTCTCATTACTTGCCTAAAGAATTTTTTCCTCATTTTCTGTACCTGACGAGCTGCAGCAATAACCCAAAAGCATATCTGAAAATAGAGCAAGAAATTCTTAGTATTGCAATATTAAAAATAGTCAATCATTCCTTCTCACAAAAAAAAAAAAAACCAATTTCAAAACAACAGTTAAAAAGAAACAGAGAATTTAAAAAATGCCTCCTCTTGAGAACTAAGGTCCTATCTCTGGGCTAGCTCTTGGATCAACCATGAGCATGGAAGCAGGAAGATGAGGACTTGAATCCAGGTCTTATACTCCAACAACCCCATGACTTTTTTACTTAAGTTTCCCTTTGTTCATGGACAATGTAAGGGTCAAAGTCAAATCATTGTTTTTAAATGATTATTCTGCTGAGTGGATTATTCCCCTTAGAGAAATCTCTAAAAGAATTCAGAGGATAGTTTTCAAGTTGTTGGTAAAGATTTTTCAGTGAAAATAAGCAAACATTGAAAATAGGGGATCTACTGACAGATAGTTCCTGATCAAAGCAAAGCAAGCCAATCATTACAACACCTCATGAAAAGATAAGGGAAAAAAATTAAACCTCTTTAAAATGAACATGAATTTCCTGGAATATTTTAACCAATGAGATGGAATTAATTTTTTTTCTTTTCTGCAAAAGATAATCTTTTTTTTGCCTTTAAAAATAGTTAAGTGACTCATAAGTACTTCCATGGCTCAACTCTAGAATATGTTATAGATTCAAAGCACAGAAATTGATTTGAAATGCTGTTTTGTGAGACATTTAGCAAGAAAGGAGGAGGACAGAAGAAAATTTTGGTTTTCTCTGTCTCACCACCTCTGCCTTCCTTCAGACTACTCACTTCCCTTTCACATCCCTCAATTGCCAATTACTGAAGTAACAGGCAGGGATGAATTAGGGAAAGGCAAGAGAGAAGACAATTATCATATGAAACAATGTGAATGAAGGAATGTGTGAATATGTATAAAGGAAACACAATTTTAAAAAACAAACAAAAAACACCTAAACGTCTGCTTTCTATTTCTCTGGACAATTCCTTATATTCTTTTCACTGCTTAAAGAGGAAGAATTCTCCCCCATGTACTCAAATCCCTCCCCAGAAAAACCAACAGGAGTTACTATTCAGCTGACTGTGACAAACAATAACTTTAACACACAGGGAGCTTGCTGGAAATAATTTCCGAGTATTTCTTCTCAGGCATCTCTGAGTGGTTTCCAGCTTCCAACCCTTTGGTTAGAAGTTAAGCACCTTAACCACTTGTCTCTCTGAAATAGAACTGTAGGTCCCAGGATTTCTCAAAAGCTTGATTGCATTGCAATGTTCTAGACACAAATATTGATCTACAAATAAAATGGAGATGCTACTAACTTCTATATATCCTGTGATTAATACTGCAAAACCAATTCCAGCATAATAAATAGCAAATGTGCTCATTTCACTTTCAATGTTCAGCAACCTTTAAAAGAAGAAAAAATATGTTAAGTTTCACAAATAAGATAAAGATTACCAAGGATTACATTAGTGGATACAAAAGGATTTAAAACAAATTTAAATTTTAAAATAGCTATTAAATGTATGTGAGACATTTTATCCACATGGAATTATCATGAATCCAGCCAAACTCCTATATAGACTTCATGATATCACCCACAGCAAAAAATGCTCACCACCACCACTACCACTTTTTTAATAGGCAGAAATGCTACAGAGCTGTGAAATAACTAGTCAGGAATGACAGAAAGCCAGGGGGCCCTAGATGGCAGCCAGGCTCTCTGTCCACTCTGACCTTGTTTATTTGTGTTCGGCACATAGTACTATAAAAAATCATAGCAAGATAGAGGTTTAAAGAGCCAAATGGGCTATCTGAAATGATACTGGGGAGATGCATGCTGTGAACTGGGAAGTTTATTGTTATCTCCTTTAGAAATCTAACCAGTTTTTCCACTCTTCTATCTCTGAGTGACACTGGGGAAAAAACACATGTGTCATCACTCCATAGAAGATTGAATTTTATTGGTCCTGTCTTTCTGCTGGCTATAGTCCATGTTCAAATTTCAAGACTACTGCTAAGGGGAAAGCCAAGAAAACCAAAAACTAAGGAAAGCTCTTCAGCATTTCTCCAGCATAACTGCTATGCTGTAGAGCAGGGTTGAGGCTTGGCAGGGCCAACAAGGGAAGGGATAAAATATTTTAAAACTTCTTTTAGTAATCAATTATTTTACAGTTAGAAAAATTGACATACCAGATTAATAACAATTCAACCCTCAGGGACAGGACAAAATCACATAGGGTTTATTTCTTTTAAAAATCGGAAGTCAGCATGTTTAGTACAGATGCTCTCATCCTATATTCTATTGTTCATTATCTTCATCAAATATATTTTATAGATTATATTCATGCATTGTCTTATCAACTAAAGTGCAAGCTACTCAAGGGCAAGGACTATACTTAAATGGCTTAGAAAATGTGCCTGATGCCAAGGGCAATATCTTTCATGGAGGAAGGAGTCAATTAATTTTCTTGATTTTACTTAAACTTTCAAAATACTAATAAGGACTTAAAGAAGTCCTCTTGAGAATAGCAAGACCAATTTGCCCTTTAAAATTCCACTCAAAATTACATGGAAGTCTGACCTAGAGCAATCAGGCAAGCAAAAGAAATAAAGGACAACCAAACTGGCAAAGATATGTAAGTTAAACTATCACTATTGGCAGAGAATACGATCATATAGATAGTACATCTCAAAGACGCCACAAGAAATGTACTGGAGAGAATTAATAGAAAGCTTAAGTAAAGTGTAGGGAACAAGATCAATACACAAAATTCTAAAAGACCCCTGTCCACTTGCAAAAAAAACCTCTAAAAAACAAAATCAAGAAGATAATATCATTTACAATAGTTTCCAAAAGGATAAAATAAGCAGGAGTAAGTCTAAGGACATAAAAGACATATCTAGAAAAAACTACCAAACACTATCATAAGAAACAAAAAGAGATCTACACAAATGGAAAAATATACAGTGCTCTTGGATACTACTGATCTATAACTACAATGTAATCTCAATCTAAATTCTAACATTTATTTATTAATAAATTTTTTATTAATGGTTTAAAAATCATTTTTTTCATGTAATCATTCATTAACATTTTGTTTTATAACATTATTTGTAATTAATTAATGTAATTAATGAATTGTTGTTGTTGTTGTTGTTAAGTACCATCAAATCATAGATAGTGACCCCTATAAACAAAAGATCTGAACACATACAAATTTCATCGTTCCCTGAGTTCATAGAGTATCTGGAGGCAAGCTATTTCAGAAGTGGATACCACTCCTGCTTCCAAGACTGTTTTAATCTGGGAGCTCCACCAAACACTGTCCACCATGGGTAACCATTACTGCACTTGTCATATCAGTATCATAGTGTTTAGCATCACAGCAACCACAAGTTACCTCTGTACAGTAAATTGACAGACTAGTGCTATACCACTTAGAAGAATGTTTGACCAAACATAATTCAAAGCAGGCCTGAGGGTAAAATCACTCACCTTTGGCTTGGTAGCATAATGTTCTATCTTCTAGGCCAACAGAGCTCTCTCTATGACTCACAGCAATTCTATGAATGACAGATGTAAACCTTGTTCTAGCCTACACCATCCCCACAATCCGAGACATGCTCGGTCCCATTGCTACAGTCATGGTATCAATTCATCATGTTGAGAATGTTCTTTTCCTCTCTGACTTTCCACTTCTCTCAGCAAATTAATGAAGTTCAGTCTAATAAACTCCTTATTGTAAATTACCTTTCCCTCACTCAACTTTCTTATTTATTAATTTCTTTAAGACACTTAACAACTAATCATCAACTTTATATAGAAAGGGAAATGGTTCTGAACAGTTAAAATGTTATTGAAAAGGAAGAATAAAGTTGGAGGCCTCACACTTTCCAACCTTAGAACCAACTAGATAATCATTGTAATCAAAGCAACCTAGTACTAGGGCAATGACAGACACATAGGCCAAAGGAATAGTACTGAGAATCCAAAAATAAAACCATTCACCTTTGAACAATTGATTTTCAACAAAGGATCAAAGTCCATTAAATGGAAAACAGATAGTGTCTTTAGAAAATTGTTCTGGCAAACTGACACCATACATAAAAATTAACTCAAATGGATCAAAGATCTAAATCTTAAATCTAAAGCTACAAAGATCATATAAGGAGGAAAATAGTAACAAAACTAGGGGCTCTAATCTATAGCATACATAATATGTAAGACATAAAAATGCACAAATAATAGAAGATAAACTAATAACTGGGACCTACCAAAAAGTACACACTTCAACATAAAGAAAACAATAATCCTCAGAACTGGACAAATAAACAGCATTATGATAAATGGAGAAAAGATTGGATTTGTGAAGGACTTCGTTTTACTTTAATCTTTAACACACATGAAAGCATTAGTCAAGAGATCAAAGGACACATTATATTGGTCAAATCTATTGGCAAGGACCTATTTAAAGTGTTAACATGCAAAGCTGTCATTATAAAGACTAAGATGTGTATGATCCAAGTTTTGGTACATTCAATTGCCTCCTATACATGTGAATAAGACAATGAATAAGAAAACTTTAGATGAGGATGCTTGGGTGGGGTGGGGGGGAATTAATCATGGGGTTGGACAATTTGGTGGGTAGGGGTTGAGGGAAATTGGAAGAATCTGGTGTGAAAAACAATGTATTCAAATTTTGTAAATGAAGTAGTATAATTAAAATAATTTTTTAAAAAAAGAAAACTGAAGAACTGATGCCTTTAAATTGTAGTGTTGGTGAAGAATTGAATAGATTGCCTAAAGATCAAACAAACCTGTCTTGGAAGAAATGTAGCCAGGGTGTTTCTTAGAGCCAAGAATTGTGAGACTTCATTTTTGAGCATGTTATCTAAAGGAGTTAGTGCTTGGAAAAACATATCAAACATAGAAAAGTAGAGGTTCCATGAAGTAGAGAAAGACCTTTAACAAAATGAATGCATTTAGTAACTATACAATCTGTATGCAGAGCAGATCATTCAGGAGGCAGGGCTTTATGAGGAAGAGTATAGTATCAAGATTAAAGAAAGACTCATTAACAATCTACTATATGCAGATGACACAACCTTGCTTGCTGAAACTGAAGAAGACCTGAAGCACTTGTTGCAGAAGGTCAAGGACTGTAGTCTTCAATAGGGATTGAAGGTCAACATAAAAAAGACAAAGATTCTCACCACTGGACCATTGGCAGCAACATAATAGATGGAGAAGAGATTAAGGTTGTTAGCAATTACAGCTTGTTCGGATCCACAATCAACACTCTTAACACCAGCAGTTACTCTTAACAAAAGACGAATTGCGTTGGTAAAATATGCTGTCATGGACCTTGCCAGAGTGCTGAAGAGCAACGATGTCAGTCTAGATACAAAAGTATGTAATCCAGGCCATGGTCTTCTCAATTACTTGTTATGCTTCAGAGAGTTGGACAATGACTAAGGATGACAGAAGAAGAATAGATGCCTTCTAGTTGTGGTGCTGGAGAAGAGCCTTGAACATACCATGATGGACTGCCAAAAAAACACATAGAGGGTGAAACTTGGAGGCTAGGATTTGGAACCTCCACCCCACATACTTTGGGCACGTGGCCAGGAGATACTTGTCCTTAGAGAAGAACATCATGCTCAGAAGGATGGAGGAACAGCGCAGGAGAGGAAGACCCCAGATGAAATGGATCAATACAGTAACTGGGCAATGGGAGTTGATGTGTTAGAATTAGTGAGACTGGCTCAGGACAAGGAAGGGTTCAGAGCTGCTGTGCATAGGGTTGCTATGCATTGCAGGTGACTCAGTGGCACATAATAGCTATAACATATGACAAGTTTGGAAGCAGGAGTGGCATCCACTTCTAAAACAACATGCTTCCGGAAACTCTATAAACTTTTATAAATGTCAATGGTTGTAGAAGGACTTCAGGTCTTTTGTTCATAGAGTTGCTATGAGTTGTGCTGACTCAAGGCAAAGAACAGCAATGAGATTAGCAAAATAGAGACTGCGAGGCTGCCACAAGATTAGACAAGGTTTAGTTCTATTGTCCTAATGAGATCATTATGAGATAGAGTCAACTCTACATTACCTAACAATAACAACATTAAAAATTAACTACTGAATGAGACCTGGCTTTGTGCCATCTGACATCCATATTATTCTTCTCTTCCTCCTCTGTCCTTGTAATGACCTTTTGCATTCTTCATGGATGATGTTCTTGATATCCTCCCACAGCTTATCTTGTCTTCACTCATTAGTGTTCAAAGCCTCAAATCTGTTCCTGAGATGGTTTTTAAATTGAAGAGGGATAGAATCAAGGTCAAATTTTTGTTCCTGTGGATTTGATGTCAGTCTGGAGACTAAGGTGCGCCTGATCCAG